GTGTTGCTTGAGTTTGTGTAAGTGCTAAGGTGTTACCCTTCCTCTACATAGTGCACTCTTCCTCTGCAAGAGACTGCTGCAAGGATTGGGCTTTTCCGTGGCTTTGGAAATAGAGTAAGCAGGGAGTTGCTAGCACGTGTGGTGCTTGTGTTTCAATTAGAAAAAGGAGCGCCCTCTGGAGGGCCAGTGACTAAAAGGCATCACATGCACTTGGCCAACCAAGGGGTGGGGGACAGCCCCACTCCTGCCTGCTTGTGCAGGGCATATGGCAGACACAGCCACTGGCATAACTGTAAGGTGGTCTTGAGGGCTGAAGCTTCTTATTTTACACATCAGACAATTTCATGGATCCAAGCATCTTTTCAAATCTAAATTATTAAAAGAAAAAAAGCCTAGTAAATCACGCCTCATTGCTAAGTCTGCAGAGGAGACTGTAAGATTTTTGATGCAACCTTTTTTATTTCAGTATATAAACGCCACAAGGAGTATCTATTCTTGCTACTTTATTTACTTTACCAAGATATTAATTTGTGGCCTAGGCATTAACATTAAAAACATGAAATATGTAAGGGGTAGTTCAAACCCAAACATATAACATGAGTTATTGGCATTTAATTACTGAGGCAGTTACAGTGCTATAAACAAGTTCATCTCTGATTGTGGCCGTAACCCATGCAGTTCTGAATTGAAAGAAGGTATGATAGAAGGTGGTAATATACACAAGAATGTCCACGAATTGACTTTAATTGGTTAACTGGCAGTATATGGTGATAACTGTTTGGTTTGTCCACCACATTAGAATCTAAGGAAAGTACATAAAATTACAGGAGCATATAATTGGTGTACTAAACTCATTTTCTTATGTTGTCATAGCTGGTATCTTCACGTTATTAAAACCCTTTAAACCAGCCATCTTCTAAGAGATCTAATTGTCAGTATGGTCTTTATACATTATTCCTGTTAGCACAGAGCTGAGGAGATATAAGTAGGCACTAAAATCTGCACAAATTTTCAGTATACAACTTTCTTATTTCATGTTCATGGAAAATCAGTAAATGTTAATGAAGATAAAAGCCATTCTTTAGATCCTGGTTTCCTCATTTGAAGCACAGGGTAATCAACCCATAAAGGAAAATTTATTAACATTATAACCGGAATCAGACCTTTAAAATAGTTAATTCATTAGTTCCAGGAAGTTCTGTGATCGTTTTGTGCATAGGTGGCCCTGCAAAAAGGACTTTTTTTCAAGATATAAATAGTATATAAGAACAGAAAAGATAAGCTCAAATTCTGGCATCTGTGGATGAGCAATTATAGGTCGTTTACCTACTTATACTGGCTGGGCAGTACGGAGACATTCTAGAAAGGTTTTCCCACTCTAATCCCATTCACTCACCCACCAGTGCACACTCCTCAAGGAGATTTTTCTCAATAGGAGAAATAGGGTTATCAGAACAAAACAGAATAAAAACAACCCCCCATCTCACCCATGGCATCCTAGAATAGGGAAAGGAATCCCAAAACCTGAAGGGGTGTGAAATAGTAGACCAGATATGAGGAAGAGGAAAGTGGCATCAGCCTAGCATTAATAATTATTAAAGATTTACTACAGGTTTATCTTATATAAAATCTATCTTCCTTTAGGCCACACCACCTAAAGTGCAAATGGTAGCAAATGATACATATCACACTTGCCAATACTGTAGGATTTCCATCTCTCCTACTTATTTCTGAAAGTCCTCAGGTTATACCTCACTTGTCCTTAAAATGTGACCACTCAGCCTTCATCGATCCCTTCGGCCTCTGCTGGTTGCTCTGGTAGGACGGTACCTGGCCTCTGGTCCATAGCGATACTGCCTTCCATTGGGCTGCTGCCTTCTGGTGTGTGCTGTTGACACTCTGGACCCCTGTGCTCTTGGGAGCATTTAATGCACTGAACCCATACTAAAGTCCATGCCTTTTGTGTCCACTCATGTTCTCAACTGAGAACATGAATCCATGGGAGGCTGAGGTAAGGAAAAAATCCAAGGGACAAACCTTATGCTAAACTTGGAATCATCTAGACACTGAGGCCTTTGGCCTCAACTTCCTTTAGAAGTATTCTTGACGTAGAAGACTCTCCACCTTTTGTATAAATAGCCACCTCTCACTAGCCTCCCAGATATTTCTGCATCCTAAATGTGGCCTTCAACTGAGGTCTGTCCTATGTAGGTCTGTATTTCACCTCCAGATCTTTTTTAGCACTAGACAATGAAATCAGTTTCTTCCCAAACTCTGGCTTAGTCTTGGAACCACTGATCACTAGTCTGGTCTCCCCTGGGATAATCCAACACTTTGGGACTCAGCCATTCTTTAAATCATGAAATCTCATGGATATCTCTGACTCCAGATTTCAAATCACTGCACACATTTTTTCCCCAAATTTTTACTATGTCTCTTAAAAAAGTACTGCAGGTAGCAAAGGTTACAATACATTTTTATGTAAACATGGTTTGTCTGTATACATAGGTCAAAACAAAGCATTTATTTTCTGTTGTGTAGCTACAATGTTGGGAAACTACTATTTCCCATACTCTAGCCTGGAACTTCAGTAGATGCTTTTCACTGTCTATGTGCAGGGTTATTTTAAGCTCACCACATTTTAATGTTATTGCTGCAGTTATAACAGACATAGCAACCAATTATAATAATGTTTTATTTACTTTATATATCAAGAAAAAAAGCCGTTTGGTTAAAATTATCTACTATATCTCAATTATACTATAATAGGATACTAGCTAATATCTTTCAGGATAAAATCTGGAATAAATCAGTTAAGTTAATAATCTTAATAATTTTGAGATGAAATAACCCTTTGTTCTCAAATTTAAATACTTTATATTTTTAGTATGTTTGTGCTAACGATAGAAAAGCATGGCAAATTTCAGGACAATGGGAGTTTTCTTACTCTAAGCAAAGAATTAAACCTGAATGAGGGTCAATAACCTAAAGAGAGTAGACAGCTGTGGATTTCGGCCTGTTATAGCTCTGAACAGGTCACATTAAGTAGCACTTGCAGTCATATTTAGTTTTTGCCTACTTCTTCTATCTTTCTCCCTGCTTACCTCTTCTGTCTTTTAGTAATGATGATAATTATAACAGCAAAAATATAAGAATGTAGATATTATATTAGCATTCTAGTAGGAACTGGGTATTTCCATAAATAAAATTTCTAGGTATCTGAACTTTATTAAAGTAAAAAACCTTTAAATATTTTTGATGAAAATATTTATAAACTTTATGTACATTACATAAAATTTATATAAAAATATAAAATAATTAGATATTATCATGGTTTTAACGTTTTCTTAATGACTAATTGTTCTGAGTTGTAGCATACTGATGCTCATTGGATTTATTTAGTCATTTGTTCATCCATTCATTCATCCATCCATTTATTGAGTGTTACTATGCTCCAAGAACTGTAAAAGGTGGCAGGGATTGGGCAGTGAACAAAGCATACACAAAGCCCTGCCCTGATCGAGCTTGCATTCTAGTTGGTATGCAGGGTGTTTGCCTCTACAGCAAGAGAGCCCTGACTGCTGTGGTTTTGGTTGCTCTGTCTCCATCCTCAGCTGTCAGCAGGCACCTCTTGCAGGCACCACATCTGTCCTTTTGATCTCAGTTTACCATTGCATGTCTCTTCCCTGAGCATTGCTCCAAGTCAATAATAAACCATATCCCTGGATGGAGACCAAGCAGCTCATCATATGCCTACTGTAGATGTGCTGCTGAGGAGTTCTCTTATCCCTACTCTCAGCTTTTGGGGTCTTCCTTTGTTCCCTTTCTTTGTTCATGTGTCTCAATTCTAATGATCTGATTTGGTCATCAGGTCCAAAGTGCTCTGTGCCATTTTTTCTGGGAAGACAAATGCATCTATATGCAAATAAGACTCGGAAGAGTAGCCATCGCCAAGTGATATTACAATATAAAATATCATCTTCCTTATAGTTGTGGCCATCAGGTCCAAAGTGCTCTGTGCCATTTTTTCTGGGAAGACAAATGCATCTATATGCAAATAAGACTTGGAAGAGTAGCCATCGCCAAGTGATATTACAATATAAAATATCATCTTCCTTATAGTTGTGGTAGCTTTTTCTGATAATTCTTTGGTCCTCCACAAAAATTTAAAAAGGCAGACACCAAAACTTCCAAAAGAGAGGAAAATCAGTTTCCCTACAATTTTATGTTTTGACCATTGTTAAAAACTGTCCAGTAGGGGTGCAGGGAGTCAAGAAAGAATTCTGAACTGCATTTAAGGGAACAATGGTGACTAATGCGAAAAGGAATATTTAAAACATTCACAGACCTATCGGATATCAGAGCTAGAAGGAGTTCTCCGCAAGTGGCAGGGAAGTGTCAAGGTTACGAACTCCAGTGCTGGGGCCAGATTGCTATACCCCTTAGAATGGTTTGACCTTGGCCTGGTTATGCAACATCTCCGTGCCTCAGTTTATTCATCTGTAAACTAGTATGTACTTGACAAGCTTGTGAGGATTAAATGAATTAATACAGGTGAAGTGACTTGTATTGTGCCTGGCACACAGGAAGCTCTTGGTAAATGCTAACTGTTATCTCAATTTCTTCACTTATTTTTACAGATGAAGATATGGGTCCTAAGATCTTAAGTGAACAGCAAATTAGAGATAAAACCAATGCCAAAACCTGGTGTCCTGATTCTCACCACACTATATGGATTTTTTTTTCTGATATCCTGCTTTCTTTACAAATGGGAAGAAATACTGAATCATTTAAATGATCACGAATGGACTATTCAGTTATATATAAGTCCCTTTTCCCTCATAAAACAGAAACATTCAAACACACCTTTGCCCAGTTCTATTCCCCTAACTCCCAAGGCAGGACTAACTCTATAGAGGCAAGAAACAAAGGATCACTCCTGACCAGGTCTGGCAAAGTTTAATTTTATGCACTAGTAGGGCAATTATTTTCTTCCTTACCTTAAACTTGTCAACTTCAGCTTTTGAACATGTTGCATGGTATGATAGTACCTGATTCAGAAGAAAAGAAAAGAACTTTAATAACTAGGCATGACTGTGTTTTCTGAAGTTCTCCAGGCTTAAAAATAAGCTTTGCTCATGTACAACCCCTCAACCTAACAATGGATTTTAACGTATGAGAAGAAATTTTTAGTAATAGTCTGTGACAAGATCACACATTGAAGGATATTTTATATCAGGATTTTTCTATAGGTAGTTATTTCATCAAATACATGATGTGGCTCAAGACCACAGTTTCCAAAGGATGTAAATACTTGTCCCGTGAAATGCTCTGAAAATAAAAAGGTGCTGTGTGCATGAGCACGCATGCGTCTGTGTGTCCTGGGGCAGGCGTCGTGGGTTGCTGACTCAACTTCCATTCCCTCACCTGTTCTCACCTGCCTGCTTTTGTTGTAGATCCTCCCTTGGTATCCGCAGGGGGACTGGTTCCAGCACCCTCACACATACGAAACTCCAAAGATGCTCAAGTCCTGATATAAAACAGCCAGTGCTTGCATATAACCTATGCACACCCTCTTATATACTTTAAATCATCTCTGGATTTCTTATAATACCTAATACAATGTAAATGCCATGTAAATAGTTGTTACACTGTATTTTAAAATTTGTATTATTTTTTATTGTTGCATTGTTATTTTTCATTGTTGTTTTTTTTTCTGAATATTTCTGATCTGTAGTTGGTTGAATCTGCAGATGTGAAACCCATAAATACAGAGGGCCTGCTGTATAGGAAGGATCATATTATTATGAATTCGTATCCCTTTTTGTAAGAGTATTATACTTCCTTGCCCTATCAACATCAGTTTCAGCACATGACTTGCTTTGGTCAATGGAATGTAGAACAAAGTGATAGATGCCACTTTTGGTGTATCCCTTTTTGTAAGAGTATTATACTTCCTTGCCCTATCAACATCAGCTTCAGCACATGACTTGCTTTGGTCAATGGAATGTAGAACAAAGTGATAGATGCCACTTTTGGGCAGTGTCTTTAAGAGTGATCACATAATTCCATCATCTCCTTTCTCCCTCCATTGGAAAGGAATGGCCAAGAAGGACTGCACCTTCAGCCTGGGTCCTAAAATAAACAAGACACACTGAGCAGAGCCACAGCCAACCTGCAGCCAATGACTTGTCATGTGAGCAAGAAATCAACTATTATGGTTTATCACCACGTCATAACTCACTGACACAGAGGCCTAAAAGTAAAAAACCCAATTCACAGGCTCCCTGCAGCTAGGAGTGGTCATGTGGGGTGGCCATATGATACTGCTCCTGTCAATGAAATATAAGTGGAAATCTTGAGGCTGTCTCTTTCTTTTTTCTTCCTCCCTGATAAATAAAGTCTGGAGATGCAGCAAAATCTGGTGTCTATGAGGTGACAACCATGAGGGCGGATGCCAGCTTGTTACGGATAGTAGAGCAGAAAAGGAAAGGGAAATGAGGTTGGCCTTGGGCTGCCCTGCCCCAGACTTCTTGTCTTGTGGGACAAATAAACACACGTTTGTTTAAGCCAGTATTGGTATTTTATAAGGCATATATGCATACATATGCACACACACAAATATAATGTATACATGTTGTATGTTTTATGCTACCAAAGCCATTGTTAATTGACACAAAT